GATCATCTCGCCTTTTGCTGTGCAAGACAGATAAACATGAATTAATTTAGCGGATAAAAGAGACCTAGGAAAAAATCACAATCTGTAGCTATGTATTTTTGTTGCAACAAAAATGGAAATCTCTTCAGAGTAGATAAAACCAGTTTGTCATATGCAGTGTTCACTACTGTCAGTTAATTTGAAGACACGCTGCTCAACAAGTGAAATGTTTGACATCTTTGAAGATTAAGACCATCAAAAGTCCAAAGTTTTAAAAATCGACTACTGAAGTAATTGACTAGGTACCTGAATAACCAAGTTACCCAAGCATCTACATAAACAATGAAAACACTCTTTGTGAGTTATTATTAAAACAGAGACAGTCCCCAAATACATTTTCATTAATATTTACTAGTTATTTTACAATCAAAAGCATAGGCAACTTCAGGTTAACATGTCCCATACCCATTCACTTATTACACCACTCCCCAAAAACTGGAAGCCCATCAACCCCAAGGATTTAATAAAACATGGATTTATTCCAAAATCGTTGTAGAGGTATGCTCACTGAATATTACTTTCCACTGCTTAATATCATTAATGAGACACTTAGCTCAAATTAATAGCTAGTTACTTACACTGCCTTTGGGCCTACTCAGCACGCCTACGGGATTCACCAGGATCTGACCACTGCACACCCTGGAGTGTGACTACCTCTTTAACACAGCCTTCACAGAGTTATTAGATCTTTTTGGACTGTAGGCCTCCTAGTACTAAATATTTTGAGAAAAAGCATTACGTGATGCTGTGACACATCATTTACACATAACTCAGGCTTTGGCCTCCTCAAAAAAATGACAGCCTACCTACGGATTTCCCAGCCTAGTACTAAACCAAGTGCATGCAAGCCCCAAAGAAACAAACATATCTAGTTACTGACAGTGGCAACTGATTCTTACAGTTTTATTACAGTTGCATAAGAGAAAACAGGAAAAATAAACACATCTCTCTCCTGCACTTCAGCTGTATGAATTTCCTTCCTACAGCATGTAAACTGAAGCTATAAAGTCCTCGGTGTGCCTTTTCCGCCTGCTCTGCTCTGTTGTCAGCACTCCTCTCCCACACCTTCCTGAAACGGTAACACATCTTCCTTTGTATCAGCCCCCGCCCCCATCTTTTCTTAGCGTCCTGATACTACTGCACATATAAATTTAGAATCTTTCTAGAATACAGAACATAGCTTATGACATTTGCAAACCCCAAAATTATTACAAAACTGATTTAAAGGTTATTCCATGTCTGCCTTTTAACCTAAAGGGGTACAAACTGATGTGGAAGAAGAGTAAGAATGGAATTAAAACAAAGTAAAAGAGGATAAAACCATCCTAAGAGAAGCACTGCTGAGACTTTTCTTCGTACAGTCAAAAAAACGTATGTTTCCTGAACCTAAATGAACCCCAACATTTTAAACCTACGTGTACAGAATATGAGATGCTGCATTTGAAGTGCCTGTGTACCAGTTAATCATGTATTTCCACTCATATATACACAGTTAGCTAACACCCTTGCTCAGGAACAGTGAAAGCAATTATAAGTAACATCAATTCACAACCTTAATTGAAGGTAAAAAAAATATTTTAGACTTAAAAAGTTTAATTTAAAAGAATTTTTTTATGTAGTCTGATCAGAAAAACCTGATTTTATTTTCTTTTTAAGCATACCAGGTCTAAAGTCTGACAAATTTCCCACTTTAACTGAAAGATGCATGGAGGGGAATGGGGTATTCATTTTAGAAGATATTTTAAGTGCAGATCAATTATAGATAAGCATTTCTTCCTTAAAAGCATATCCACAGAGATTATAATGCATTTGATACATTAGTGCCACCTTGGGCCAAGAATGATGCTTGTAGTGTGAATCACCACATTAAGAACTGGTGTAAAATATGTAAGTTCTTCAGAAAGTGTTAGGATACTTAAATTCTGTAGAAAAGAGCCCAAGAACAAGTGAAAAAGAGTAAAAGTCCAGTTGGCAGAAAGATTGATTTATTGACCAAACACATAAAAAGTTAGCCAACCGATTTCCTTACAAGCAGCACTTTTAAACTACTGACAATTTAAAAAAAAGTGGTTTTCTAAAAAATTTTCACTTTAAAGGACATTAAGATCTGCGATGCAAACACATGTTCTAAAATTTTAGACAAGCATGACAGGAAGCATCCCAACAAGTTCATTCCCAAACTGACTACAGCTTAGCTCCTAATCGCAATTAAGATAACTGAAATGGGGCAAATCCTTAAACTGATTATAAGATTAAGGAATACGGTTAAAGATACTACCAACTGCATGTCTGATACCTGCAAATTCCTTTCTATCACTGTAGGAAGGTCCCCATAGAACAGCCACCATTAAAGTACACGCCAGTAAATTGAGAGTCATGGTTAACATAAAACCCTGGACTCTGAATTGACTCCATAGTCTTGACACCTATCAGTAGAATCTGGGTATAAAAACGTCTGATTAGACAGCAGACTTGAGTTATCAAAATTGACACACTATATCCTAAGCACCAGAGGTCTGCTCTTTAGCTCTGGTTCTAAGATGACAGATATGTAAACTAGATCAAAAGAAGCAAGTTAACTAGAACATGTAGAGCTATTTTCCCTTGTGGCAGCAGCATCCACAAGGCTCTCCTTTATCTAGGTATGCAGGTTTGATGGGCCAACACTTCAGAAGCTCACAAATCAGTAATAAGCTAAACAGAGTATCACGAACTTGTACAGATTCTTGCATTATTCTTTTAATCTCTTCACCTCCTTATGCTCAAGTGAGCTTTCTGCCAAGAGCCATGCAGCAGAAAAATGAAGAATGACTATTAAGAGCTATCTCCACCCCCACACCTCCCCTCCCTTCCAAATCCAAATGTCAGAGTTCATACTAGGAACAAATTCGATTTATTTGTTCCTCTCTGACAACAGAATGCCAAGGGAAAAAAGTACACTTAAGAACTTTTATTACTTGCTACAAAGAAAAGAAATCCTTTACTTCAGTGTGAAAGTACAAATCACAACTTGGTCCTAGTTAAGGGCATCTCTAGGCATGTCTAAGAACGCAGCTACATCATAAAAAAATTGGTTGGATTTCTGGTTGGCATGAACTTTGCTGAGGTACTTTTTATAATCCGAACTGAAAGATCATCCACTTCTGTCAAGAAGCTACCAAATGACATTGATTGATTTTATGTCAGGAAATGTTATGGTTTGCTTTCTTATGATGCAATAATAACACTGACAGCACTGGTGAGATACACTGAACCATTAGATATGATCAAGTAGGGAAACAATAAGAGAGCAGGCCTAGCACAACCACTAGTTTAAAATGCACTTAAACCCCTGCCCACCTATAAGGGCACACTAATCGTGTTTTACACGTCGTTAATTTGCAGGCTGAAGTCAGCGCTGCAGGGCTTAACCACCGCCTAAGAGGACCTCAGTCTTATAAAAAAGTTGTTGGAGAGAAAATTGCTATCAAAGCTATTTACAGTCTTCTGCTGACACACAGGAGTGGCACTCACGAATTCCACCCTTGTGGAAAGGCTCCACCGCCCCTCTGACAGCCGGTGAGGCACAGAAAGGCGCACGGAGCGAGAGATGACAAGTGTGAGGCAGGGCTGGGCGGGCGCTCCTTGGCATGAGCCGCTCTCCCAGCATAGAGAGACATTCACGCACCCTCGGCTGAGTAAACAAAACACCAGTGCGGAGCTGAGCAGGGCGGTGACTCAGTCAGGAGTGCGAGATTCGGTCCCACAGGGTAAGGAATTCAGGGAGACGGGACCGGAGGCCCATTGGCGCTCCCTACTCACCAGCAAACAGTCCACGTTCACTTCGGATTTGGGGTCCTTCAAAGTCACGTCGATTTTGTCAAAGCGAGACTCAAAACTTTCTCCCGTCGACATGTTTCCGGAGATAAAAAGTTTCCCTTATTCCAGAGCAATGTAAGGTTAAAAAAAATGGAAATGTGTAAAAAAAAAAATAAAAAAACAGGAACAGGCGAGCACAAAAGAGAAACCACACAGCTTGTACCCGGCTGAGGAAGCGCCTCCTGGGAGATCCCTTCAATCACGGCAGTCTCTGGGGCAAGTCCCCGCCAAGGGGGCAGAAAACCCAAGGGGAGTCCGCGGCAGGGCGGGGGAGACGAGGCTGCTTCTCCCCCCGCTTCTCCAGGCACGCACGCAGCTTCCCGGGATGCTCACAGCTCCGCAGCAGCAGGTTTCCTCTCCCTCCCTCCTCTGCTCGGGCCCCACCGTCTCAGCATTCCCATTTTCCCAGCCGGGGAAGCCGCCCTGGGATCCAGCGTAGCGGTCCCTCCTCCTCGCCCTGCTGCTGCAGCGCCGGCGGGTCGGTGCCAGGTTCCGGAGCGTGGCTTTCTTTCCGGTGAACCAGAAGAAACAACAGAAAAGGGAAAAAAAAAAAAAAAAAAAAAAAAAAGGAAAAAACCAAAAACCCTGCAGGCACCCCAACAAGGCAGAGGGGAGAAAAAAAAAAAAAAAAAAACAAAAAAAAACAATCAAACTTAAGAGAATCCTTTCGGCGGCGTGTCTCAGCGCCGTGGGGTCGGTCCGTCCGTGGGCACGGGGCGAGGAAACGAGGAAGGCACAGGGCGAGTGCCCCCGCGGATGGCGGACGAGTCACCTCACCGGCGGAGCGGCGGCAGCAGCATCTTTCTTCCTCTCTCCTCCTCCTCCTCCTCGCTGCCTCCCGCTGCCGCCAACGCCGGCTCCGCTCCCCGCTCCGCCTCACGCACGGGAGGGCAGCTTGGACTGCTGCAGGACCGACCCGAGGTTTGCGGCGTGCGAGGGGAGGAGGAAAGGAGGCGGCTTAAGGGGAGGGCAGAGCGTGAGGTCCGGCAGCTGCGAGGAAACCTGCGAGAGGCACCAATATGTCCGCCTTCCGTTTGAACAGTCGGCACGGCGGCGCGGGGCGCATGCGCGGGGGAACGGCTCCGGTGCGGGCGGGGACGGCACGGGACGGCGGCGGGAGGTGCGCGCGCGCGCGCGCGAGGGGGTTGGAGCGGGCGCACGCCAGGGAAGGAATCGCGGAATCAGTCACAGAATTGATTAGGTTGGGAAAGACCTCTGAGATCACCGAGTCCAACCTTTGACCGAACCACCAGCATGTCAACAAGACCACAGCACAAAGTGCCACGTCCAGTCTTTTCTTAAACACCTCCAGGAACGGTGACTCCCCCATCTCCCCGGGCGGCCCATTCCAGTGTCTAATCACCCTTTCTGTATAGAAATTCCTCCTAATGTCCAATCTAAACCTCCTCTGGCGCAGCTTAAGACTATGTCCTCTCTTTCTCTCACTTGTAACCGGGGAGAAGAGCCCGACCACCACCAGGCTACGACCTTTCAGGTACTTGTAGAGAGGGATAAAGTCACCCCTAAACCTCTTTTTCTCCAGGCTAAACAACGCCAGCTTCCTCAGCCGCTCCTCGTAGGAACTGTGCTCCAGACTCTGCCCCAGACTAGTTGCCCTGCTGAAGGAAGGAGCGGGCGGTGCGGGAGGAAGGGAGGCGGTTCGAAGCGGCCCCCGCCCGGGCAGGGCGGGCGTGACAGCCCAGGCTCGCTCCTTCCGGGAGCCGCTGGCTTGGAGTGCCCGCCCCCCTCCGCCCCCGCCGGTTCCGGCGGGGTTTGCGCGGAGCCGGGGACTGTGTCCCGCTGGGGAAGGCGTCTTTTGCCGGCAGGTCTTCGTGCCGTGGGGCGATGTTGCCGCCGTGTTTCCGCCCCGACTCGGAGCTCGTGGCTCCCGCCGCCTGCACAGCACGGGCACGGGGGGTGGCAGGTGCCAGCGAAGGTCGCCCAGAGAGCTGCCGTGATCTCCATCCTTGCGGATCTTCAAAAGCCGTCTGGACACTGCCCTAGGCAGCCGGCTGTAAGTGGTCCTCAGGTGGTCCCTCACTGGAGATATTCAAGGACTGCTTGGATGCAACCCTGTGCCACGTGCTCTAGGACAACCCTGCTTGAGCAGGGAAGTTGCACCAGATGGCCCACTGTGGTCCGTTCCAACCCGACCCATCCTGTGAGTCTGTCCTGCTTGATCAGCGGGACTGGAGAAGTTGACCTTCAGAGATCTGTTCCAACCACAGACACACTGTGATCCTGGGAAGGAGGGACCACCTTCCACAACACCAGAAGTTCAAAGCATTCCAGTTTGTGTCCTGACAAGAACCATGTGCAAGGTAGCACACCAAACACAGAAAGAATAGATACCAGTATTAAACTAAATGTGTAATCCATGCAGCATGTCTTGGTGTTTCAGTTCAAACCTTACTGTCAGACTTGCAGCAGGGACCTTTTGTTCAAATAGGGAAACAGAATCACAGAATCAATTAGGTTGAAAAATACTTCTAAGATCAAGTCCAACCTTTGCCAGAACACCACCATTTGAAACAGACCATGGCACAAAGTACCAGGCCAGTCTTTTAAACACCTCCAGAGAGGATGACTCCACCACCTCCCTGGACAGTACATTCCAATGTTTAACCCTTTCTGTTAAGAAATTCCTCCTAATGTCCAACCTGAACCTCCCTTGGCACAGCTCGAGACTCCAGCAAAATAATGATTTCAAGTAATGTTGGACGGGGGCCAGTGTACTGGTTTGGTTCTTTGACTTCCACTCAGTTCCATAATTAACCATGGCATTTTTGCAAAAATCACTAAAAATTGTGTAGAGAATGTCAAGTCATTAATCTCTGGTCACTGAACAGCTGCCAATAGCAAACCTGAATCACTAGTATTGTGAGTTATTTTCAATGTCATGGCTGAGAGAAACAAATATATAACCAAGTGCTAGAGCATTTGAGCTAATGTCACTACTTGCTATTTTGTTTTATTCGGAGAGAAAAAAAAAGAAATGGCATTCTACGTTTTGCTTTTTCTTGTCCACAGCTGCCTGCATCTTTGTTTTTGTTTTCTACTGAGAAGCATGTATGGTTAAAGCAAAAATACAGACTACAACAACATTTCACTCTCTCTCGTTTTGTGCTGGCTATTACCACAGCCCTTTGATTCAGAGGGTTTGGTTGCTCTTGGAAATGCAGATGTTCCATTTCAGCAACCACAATCCAAAAAGAACATCTCGTGTATTCCACAAGCTACAGGGTGTAGGCTTGGGATTGTTTCATATGTGATGCAGCAAGTAATTTCTAAAATACAAAGAAAATGCTTCTTGTAGTCTTCATATTAAGCAAGATGAAAATCATCATTAGAGATACAGAGGCTAATTCACAGTGCTCTTGAACAACTGGTTTAGGCATTAAAACACACACAGGGATGATGCCAGGCCTCACCAGGGTGATTTGAGGCACCTAGCTGGAAAGAATGCAAAATTCATGAGACTGTAATAGAGTACAGAAAAGGAAGCCTGAATCTGCAGCTCAGAAGACAGATCACCCCTGTGATCAGCAGATGCTGTTTATGTGTTTTATCCAATATCTGTGGGAAAACTTATAGATTCTCTTGGAAATGCAAAACTTCTTCCATCCTCTCCAGGTGTCCCTGCAAACAAAGCTACATAGGTCTTACTCCCATTTGCCCTTTGCATCTTCGCATTTCTTTTCTTACAGTGGCCCAGATACAACAGAGTAGGTGGAGAGAAGCACCATCACATTGACTTGGCAACTTGGAGAACTCTCAGAGATACAAGAGCTGGGCATTGGACAGGCCCAGCCTCACATGTTTATTTTCTAGTAAAGGATCTTGCCTCTATACCAATACACCTGAGAACCTCTACCAGTGTTCGTGGTGAGTGAATTTGTTGTGTTTGTGTTCAGCTGCGTGCAAAGTCCTTGTGATTCAAACATGTCTGTCAGACTGGGCTTTTCTCATGACTGTGGTGGACTACAAGTGCTTGTCTGTCTGTCTCAAATAGAATAGAATTTGTGTGGGAGGTACTTCACCCAGCTGTCTAGGAAACTGAGCACTGCTTTGAAACCGTAAAAGGGAGGCTTTGGCTACAAAGAGCCAAAAGAAAAATTGATTCTAATTTTTAAAAGCAGGTATGAGTTAAGTGTCTGGTGTGATAAAGTGCTCATGTTATAGCTTGAGAGTGTAATGTAATAGCTTTTAATCCAGAGAACACTCGTTCACGTGCTTGGATCTTGAAGCCCATTTTCACGAACTTCAGTCAGACCATTTGTATCTATAAGATTAGAAACTTGCATATTTCTAGCATTAGAAATCATAGGAACTTCAATCCTACATAACCAACCAGTGCATTGAACATGATAGTTTTGTTTTGTTTTGTTTAATTTCCCTGATAAAAACCAAGTAAACTGAAAATCAGTAATTTCTTCTTCTTGCGTTTGTTGTGTCACATATTTTGGAATCGAGGTACTGTTGAGTGAAATAGAAATTACTCAACATATGCATGACCTGATAACATTGAGCTGACAAAGCATGCAAGCCTGAAAGATCATTTTTTCTTGCTTCAAAAGCATATAGTCTTTAAGTCCTGAAAGTGTCTCTACGTAAGCTGATGTCTATGCGTAGTAAACAAGCAAACTGATAATTCTTAATAAAACCAAAATCATAGTCCAGAGATCCATGTTGTCATGTGTATTTCAAAAGATATTTAAATGTTCTCGCTTTTTATGTAATACAAACTGACACTGACTTAAGTGCTGATTGTTTGGAAGAGATTGTATTATCAAATACAGAAAATCAGTAAACTGTAGAACTATTACATTGGCTTCTTCTAAAACATAATAACGTACTTATAAAAAGTATATGTAATACTTTTTATGGTGTAAATAACATTCTTGTACATTAGAGTACTGAGACTGTGCGTTGTAAGAGGTTTCAGTAGTGCCCATTTCAGGAAATGAGTGAACACCAAGAACACAAGAGCAGTGGAATACTCGAAAAGTATTGGCTCGGCTCTCTCCGAGCAGGTACTGTTACTCCCATCCTCTTGTGAAAAAGCTAAGAAAGATTAAGCAAGAGAGATTGTTACTGAGTGTACATCTTTAAAAGGCTTACAGTCTCAGAAAGAGAGAAAGGGCTAGGAAACCAGAGTTCCTGAAGTAACTACTGACTTCAGAGGAGTTGCACAAGAGAGAAATGCGACTATATCCTGTTCACCATATTAGGCCAAGTTAGTAATGCAAGAGCTCCCCTCACATTCAACTTCCGATTTAGTCATCATGAAACCTACAGGAGTTAAATCACGTTAAGCTAAGCCTGCCTTTGGTTCACCACCCTCTCTCCTTCTTTGCCATACACAACTGGCTCAGTTTAGCCTCAGCTCTAGTCCTCCAGACAGTTGATAGCACAGGCCAGTGCAGCTCAAAGCTCTGAGATTAAAACTGTGGTCAACAAATCCAGTCCGTGGGCAAAATATTTTACCGTTGCTAAAGCTCATCTATGTAATAGGCCATTTGCAGGAGCTCCCTGCTTAAGGCAAGGTGTGATGGATGCTAAATCAGACATATCTGAACCAACTCGAGGTGATGATAAAAGTCACACTAGAATTGATCTCAGTGTGCTTGCAAAATCTGAAAAAAAGCTGCATTAGGTGATGAGTGCTGGTGGCTGCAAGCAGCTGATTTAAAGCTTCAGTCACAGTGGTGACTGCAGTGCAGCCCCCTCACTTCTCTTGGAGGCTCAACTATGCACTGAAAAGGCTCCTCAAGAAATTCCAGACAGTAAGCTTGAGGTGCAAGGTACTCTGAGTAGTGAACACATTATAATGCTCTACTAATGGGAGAGACAAAGCAAAGAAACGTGAGAGATATAAGTCATATAATTTACTATGCTGAGAAAAGGCATCTCGGTACCTGATGAGGCAAAACAGGAACTATAACAGAAGTAGAATAGAAATTACCTAGCCAATAAGAATTGCTAGCACAAGAAGACAATTTTGTATATAATAAATCAAAAGAGAATTTCACATGGATAGACTCAACAGAAGTAGTATCTTTCAAATATCTGTTGCCAAACATATGTTTGATATTGAAACAGTTCAACATATACATATATAAATATGTTTTTCCTGCATGTCACTAACTGTAATAAAGACGTGAGGCCTCAGGCATATGGCTTTGTCTGTTACAATGTATCTCAGCTCCCCAACAAAGGGCATTTGATGCTGTTCCCTATTACAGAACATTTTCGGGCACCGTAGTACTTCTTTTTGCTTACAGCGCGGGAAATTTCAGGAAAAACTGCTCCTGCTGCCTGTGAGTGGTGAGTGATGAGTAAGAAATGGAGCACCATTTCTGAATCTTTGTTGTATTTTCTTGAACAGGCTAGAAATAGGAAAAAAAGGATCACGTCTTGGAACTTCTGCAATGGCTCAGTTTGATGGAGAGGATCCGTTCTGAAAACAAACTTGTTGCAAGGCAGGAAGTAAACTGGATGACATTGTCTGTTCCAGTGCAAACACAGATGCATTTGCTGCCAGCAGACAAGGGCACAGTTGTATAAACAGCATAGGCAGTCCCAAAGTAACATCTACTGTATCTGGAAAGGAGGGGACTGTGACCCCAGTGACAGATACCAATCCACATATCTGGTCACCATATGGTTCAGGCCAACATCAACCTCAAGTGCATATACAGCACAGGCTCCCTCTGCTTTTATGCTTTAAAAGTGCAGAAAAAATCCTGTAACCAACCTATGGCCAAAGCTCACAAAGTAATTTGAAATCAAAACATAACAAAATTCCACTGAAATGCTGAAAGCTTCATACCTCAGTAAGGACCATTTCCGTGGCAAATACTATTTTCCCATTAGAGCCACTTGGTGGGTACAGAAAATGTCAAGATGCCAGAAATTCTTCTTTTATCCTGGGAAAAAGCTTTTTATTTTCCCTATCCCAGAGCTTAAAAATGGCCCAAGTGCTTCTTGTTTGAAATCTTCAAAAAGCCAAACAAACTCCACTCGAAGTCAAAGAAAAACCATAGGAAAAAAACAGCCTGAAAAAAATTAAGGTTTCAGAAAGGTAGGAGTATATTAAAGCAGGAACCAAAAATCATCTCCTGATGGTCTCATCTATAAGGATATAAACATAAATAATGTATATTTTGTATCTATATATTTCCATTATATAAATGGAAATATAAATAAATATATATGTCAATTAGAAGTAGAGTGATTTCCATGATTTTAGATCTCTTTACAGATTAAGCTGTCATGAATCTGTCTTTCTACACTGCTATTGGCTTGTTAGCTATGAATGACCTATGAGATTAAGAAGTTTTCTTCTTATTTCACCAGTTCATAACCCTAAGTGCTCTCTCTTATAACAAATTTTCCCACCCCACCTTACTCCTACTTCCCTGACTTACGTATATCACGTTTCCTGTGATTGGATTCATTTTGCAGTCCTTGCTCAAATAGTTCTTCTGAAGACAAAAGTTAAAAGTAAACTGGGCTGAGTTTAAAAATAAACTAGCTTTAATTCTCCTGGCTTTGGTTTTATGTATGCTGTCCTAAATATCTACACTCCCTGTAAATGCTTTGCTCTGCTGAAGAGTATGACAAATCCATAAAAAGCTGTGGTTTTTATCTTGGGCCTGGGAAATATTTAACAGTTTCAGGCTTTAACAGATAATTAACTTCTCATAACTTTTCTGGTATAAACAGAGAGGGCTTCATATGATCCTTTTCTGGGCAGAACAGCAGAAGTTGCTGTTCTTGCCACAGTGTAAAGTTTTGCAACACAAGTTATGTACAGCTACTTTTATACCATGAAGCTTCATGTGATTCTACATGGCTTGTCTTAAATTTAAGGCATTCAAATGCTACTAAATATGCAGTTTCTAAATACTCGTGTTTCATATGACTATCTTCCAGATATTAAAAAATAAATTAAAAAGTTTGGTTACTGAAAAAAGAATTCAAATTAATTGCAATTGCAGGAATTATAAATTAGTCAACTTAATTATTTTTGGTGAATTTTAGTAACTAAATCACAGATACTGAATTACTGATTTTGTTCACACTCGGGACATTTTCAAATTCTTCTATTAATCTCATGCCACTAGGCAATGGGTTAACTGTTATTTTATACTAACACTACTACTGTTGTTTTGTCTGTAGAGCTCTACTACTCTAAGAACACATCTGTAAGGTTTAAGATAGTCGGACTTTAGAGGATAGAGAAAATTTATATTTGATTTTGGTTATAATTCTGTTTTCATTTGGCCACAACAACCCAAAACCCAGAAATGAAAGTTTTATAGGTGTGATCATAGACAGAAAACTGCATGTATGAAAATGTGAGAAAGCTCTTTCTCAGCTCTAAAGTCAAAGTCCTCTTATTCTTATCTCCCTCCCTTCTTGAAGATAAAAGACACCAAACTTCCTACTTCCTGTGGTAAAATGCTATGCAAGTCTGTTGGGTAATTCAACTCTTGATACTCAGAAGGTGGCAATTTTCTATCAGTTTTACCCCATTATTGTACTTTGTTATTATTGTTAATACTACTACTACTAGTAGTAGTAGTACTAATATTATTATTACTATTAATTATAATTATTGTTACTTCAGGTAACTGCCTTAACCTGTTTTGAGGTGGAGAAGGGAGATGGGACAAGAGCAAATGCCCTCAAGTTGCAGCAGGGAAGGTTTAGATTGGTTGTTGGGAAAGGGTTCTTCACCAACAGGGTTGTCAAGCATTAGAACAGGCTGCCCAGGGATGCGTTTGAGTCACCAACCTTGGAGGTATTTAAAAGCCACGCAGATGTGGCACTAAGGGACATGATTTAGTGGTGGACTTGGCAGTGCTGGGTTAACAGTTGGATTCGTTGATCTTGAAGGTCTTTTCCAACTGAAACCATTCCATGATTCTGTAGACTCCTAGTTTGATGAAAGCAAAAATAATCTGACGAAGAGACAAACTAAAGGCCAGGAACAGGCCATTTCAAAACTTTGGTAGGTGCAAAGTAATACCTTCTCGATGGTGAGTTTTCAGGCAGAAGGGAAAAAAGAGCCAACTCAGTCTCCTTCTTCCACAGAGTCAAATCCACCAGGACTAAAGAACGTCAGCATTGTCCAAAGCTGCCTCTGTGATATAAGAATAGATGAGGCTCCTCTGTAAAGCACTGAATTAAAAAAAGTACAAGGTGATTGACTCATCTGTGGCCCGTAACCATATGGATGTGTACAAAATTACTTCCAGCCAATGTTCTAGAGCCTTTACCATAGAAACAAAAGGTAGCATGGCAAACAAAGCTGTCCCTCAAGAGTCTCATACAATGAAAAAACATTGCTGTGAAAATGTATATGCAAAGCAGTATTTGTAAAGAGTTACATCATCGCACCTTTGCAATCACTCCTCTTTGTGTGCCAAATTTTGGTGAAACTATGGAATAACTCAGAACTAAGTAAGTGCTTTTAAAGAAATTATTGAAACTACAAGTACTATGTCCAAATTATTATGGAGTTTGAGTTTGTTTTAATGAAAACCTCTTGCTTACCTAATTTTATGTACATCCCAGCACTCCTCTGAGGTGGCCATGCCATCATTTTGTATTCCTATGAAGGTAGCAACGATATACTGCCTGCACTGTAAAATGTCCACAGCAACTTAGACGAC